GACATCACGTGATGCTTGTAAAAGCGATTGATCAGGGAAAGATCATGGGACGGAGAAAATTGGAGTTGTAGACTCTCCTTATGCTACCATCCCCTCACTCTGAATTCTTCCTACGCGTTTTTTATCTATTAGCAACCAAAACATCCAAATTATTGAGCCTGGCCCTCTCAATGTAACACAACATAAAGTTGAGCCGCGTGAAAAAGAGCGGGCGAACCAAGTGACATGTAATGCAACACTGCTTTACATCACCTACAAGTATAGATAGTTTTCTCACAAAAGTTATAACGTTTCAAGGGTAACAAAGTGATTTGTATACCAAAATATCATTTTGAAAGTACTGAATTTACCGTATTCTGATCACTCTCTTGAAAACGCAAGACCCAGCGAGGAAGTAATCATAAAATAGAAATTAAAACAAGCAGATCCGAGGAAAAGAATTAGCATGCATCGTGATGTCTTTCTTGCACAGATCATCGCCTGTTCAGCTTTGCGATTAAAGGCTTGGAATTTCACTTTTCCTTCCGACACATAAACGAACCCAATTCCAGCCCGGTAATTCTGTAGAGCCATTCCTTACAATTCTGTGACTGTCACTTCGTAAAGCGCGTTTAACTTCTGTTGCCCGTCGAGAACAGGCTGTGTCAAGACAATCCGAAGCGATTTTCTGTTGACAATCTCGTGCTGGCAGAAGATTCCAATGAAAATTACACAATCAGAGAAACAGTAAAATGGTGCACCTTTGTAATAACCTCCTTTGTGAGCCAAGGCACCAAGCCAAGGCGCCCAAAACATCGCCCACGTCAACCACAGAAAGCATACGCAGTCGATGTAAGTCGGTAGCTGTCGTCGAAAGTACGGTCGGCTCTGCGTAATGAAGTGATTTGAGTAAGCGTATAGTATATTTCGAACTCTGAAAGCCCGACAAACATCTTCTACTGCTATTCAAGTGTGTTGAATTCCCCTTGTTTCTGTAATTAAGCGATCGTTTTCCGACATCTCGAGCAATCTGATCGTGAAAAATACGATCTGTCAGTGTCACCCACAATGTGATGATTATTTTGTATGATCAGAAACTGAAATACTAGTTCAAGTGCATTTTACCGTAAATATCGGTCACCCCTACCTGAAGAACGGAACCTCGAGTAAAGAGGAGTTAGAATACTCAATATCTCGCGGTTCTTGAAAGTTGGTAGTTTTCGAGGAAAGGAAGTACTTCTTTTTAATCTAATACTTAGTTCTCAGGGCTCTCTCGGCTTGTCACGCTAGCATTATTCACGTAGGAGATTACGGTGAAGTGAACGCCCGAATAAACAGTTTTCTGACCCTTTTCGACAAGTGTACTAGTGTGGTCATCAAAGCAATACTACCTGAAACCATTTAACCGTACTACTGCGACTTGTTTTTTAGCTGGTGATCATTGCCAATCACATAATCAATGAAGGAGAATCCAGTTGACATGATTTCCATTTACGAAGATTTCACTTTCGATGATTTACGAGCTGCTAGAAGCAATTGCTTTTACAATTTTTCCGGAATGCTCTCACCAAAAATGGTTGCATTTGGTCGCCTTCGTGTAGTGCCTCTACGAAAAATAGTTCAGTGATAACCGTCTCCAACGGAACCAGACCCCAACTTCAGCATAAGATATATGCAGACATCGATCAGGATTCTCGATCTCGAATGACCTGCTTACTACAGGTTGACGCTAAATACAGGTTCCACAGAATAGGGGTATTGTAAATAACGGTAGAAAAACGCTAATTTATGCCATAATGGACCACTCAACGTACAAAAACAAGCTCAAAAATACTGCTAGCATTGATTTCGGGAGATAAACATGGATTAAATATACTTCGGAAAGCTTGTTCTCACTTTTTTCTGAGTGGTTCTGCCAAAACCGACCGTTCAATAGAGGTCTAAGACAATACAAACAGACCGTTGGGACTTAGTAAAGGATAAGCGCGACCGCTCAATAGAGGTGACTGAGGAACATTACGTTGTTTAAGGGGAGATAATTTCGCTAAAAGCCCGCATAAGATACAGAGTGACTGCTTAATACGGTGCCGCTCAATACAGGTTCGACTGTACATAATTTTTCCGTGTATTTATTTGCCACACTACAATGAAAATTAACAAGGAAGTATAATCAGCTAAGCTAAACACGAAAATCTGTAAGGCGAGGAAACCTGAATGAAATCGCGAGGCTTGTAAAATTTACAATTTTTTTTAAATGCACGCGATGAACAATTGATTTACTTTTCAAACCTTTTGAAAATTGACAAAGGTAGGTAAGCCAACGTATTCGTCCTCTTCCATTAAAACTTGAAAAAGTTGATTTGAAATATTTTTCATAAATACGTACAATACTTTGATACTTTTCGTAGTTCTTGAGGGATGTTGTGTCATATTTTGCTCTTTAGTCTTGAAAACCACTTAATTTGTTGGTTAGATCTTGAATGTTTTACATAATAACTGCCGGCTGAAGAAAATCTTGTATGATAAATATATATCATTTCTAAAGATTAGAAATATTGCATTGAGTTAACATGCTAAAAATGCCATACATTAGAACTGGAACAGGAGCTGAAATGGATTTAAAATAAAGCATATGTACTGGAGCAGTATTGTACAAGACAAAAAGAGGACTGGACCTTTAAGGTGCGGAGTATTTGAAACGAAGGGCAAGCTTTTATAAAACCTCAGAACTTAATTGGGGATAGGTCATTTTCTATTGCTGGGGGTAGGGGGCGTGGGAAGATTTTGGTTATGTCACGGTAAAATTTACCTGATCCCACCAAAAAGAAATCCTATCATCCACCTCATTGGTCCTCACTTGGCTGTAAATTTTCTAGATTCCCCCCCCTTTATACTCTGTCGGTAACGAATGACCCCCCGAGAATGTTCAGCCCCCCTCCCCCTTCGATGATAGATTATGACTGCTTCCTTAAAATAAGTCTTTGCAGCTTGGCCCCATACATTGATGCCGTAACATAAATAATGGTATATCCAGGATCGATAAATTGTTGGCAGAATTTTGGAACATCTACGTAATTTTTGTCTCACTTGTTTGCTAATATTGCTAGAAAGTTTACCTTGAAAAAATGTGTTAGTGTAACTATCTTATTACATTTAATCAACGGATCTAATCTTTCCTACGTGAGTTCCACATTAAAAACTAGCAAAATGACACCAGCTTTGTCATATAGTCCATTAGTTTCATGCCCAGTCTTATTAATTGTCAAATACCAACCGATAAATCACCATTGGATCTACAAAACTGTGTTGTTTAGTCAGCGTATTATTTGCCTCCGATCCAGAACTGAGTCGTATCACTCGAGTTTGAGGTACAACGGAATTTGGGATTTGTAGAACTGTACATTCCAAAGTTGTCCTCGCTTACTACGGCCGTCTTGCTTGCGTCGAAATCGCAGGACAGAGGGTTAAAATAAGACTCGACATGCAGAGGATAATTGCCTTTTTTATACCCTGTAAATGCAGTGCAATTCACACACTCATTTCCCCGGATGTTGATATATTCGTAAGGTCGACAGGTGACTTCCACCGTGGGTTCGTCTTTAATGATGTCAAAGTCTTCAAGCGAGGCTCTCAGGTAATCTGTGTATACGGTGCCATCTGTGTTGTATCGGCAAGTAGCTCTCCAGTGAGTCGAGTGACTTCTTAGCCAAAGGAGGTAGGGTCGTTTGATGAGGTAGGCCTGCCAATTTGGGGCATCACCGCTGATGGCTGGGTAGTCATCGTAAAACACGATGTCCTTCTGTAGAGGAAGTAGAATTGGTGAGGAAGTTACGATCGTTGTCAAAACTGTCGCTTATGAAACAAAACTCATGGAAGCAACATGAGACTGAATGTATTTCACATTTTTCCACTGAGGAAGCTTTCGTCCTACGCTCGTCTAATATGTATTTATAAAAGATTTAAAGAGAAATCATATACCTGAAAACGATCTTTGTTGGATAAACTAAAGGACTCAATCAGGTTCCAAGCGAACCCAGGCTCTGAGTCAAAATCACAGAACACCTGGAAGGTTTGATTATTGTCATCGTTAACTGTGTACAATCCGGAGGCGGTGGACCCGGCTGCTTTGAAATCCTGACAGCTTCTTTTCTGCTGAATCTCGCATCGTTTTCCAACAAACGGTACAGGACAGGAACAGTTGTACCGAACACTTGTGGGTTGACAGATCTCAGCACAGGTTCCTCCATTAAGACACGGATTGTTCTTGCAGCAGCCATTGGTACACGTGAAGTCATCAGCACAAGGAACAATGTTGGTAGGAGCCTAAAAATGTATAGGGAAAAAAGAATTAGGCGTTTCTGACTGGCAGAAAACGAGTGTATTCTCTTGTAACGTGAGTGCAAAGCTAAAAATTAGGCTCGCAATTCGTACTTGTGTGGGTTTTCAGTCAAATCAACGGGACTCTTTATATCGTGGTAAGTGACCCTTTTACAACGGGAAACTGCATTTAGTGAGTGGTTCCAATATTTCCCTGCAGTAAATTTCCAGTGATAAATATTCATGGTAAGGTGATTGACAGAGTAAAGAGTCACTGAAGTAAACATTTTGCAGGTTAGGGCTTGTCGCATGTTACAATTGAGTGCATTTGAGCATCTGAGATTCTCAGCCATTAAATCCTTTGCACAATTAACTGTCAAAATGTGTTCGAGTCAACGCGCTTCAGGCTTGAACACACTACTTCAGAGACTTGTGAAATATTTGCGTTCGACAAAAAAGTAAATGCCGTCTTCTTTTATTCACCAGCGGAAATATTGGAATCAGTCACCAGTAGCAGAGAAGAATTTATTTACGATAAACCTGGATAAACCAGCAAGCAACTGCAAATGTTAGTTATTAGGCGTGCTTCCAGCGTAGAACACTGTACGTAAACTATACTTTAACAAATTAGCTTTTCTGTTTAACATGACCAGTGAAATGTGAAAATTTTTGGCAGGAAGTTTGAAGGCATTAGTTTTTAGCTCATTCATGCTGAAAGCAATGAATGAGGTATTGTGGTGGAGCAGATGTTGACGGAAGTTGTCGACTGTGGACGGAAGTTGTATTCCGTTGATGGAAGTTCCATTGTGGACCGTGAACGGAAGTAATCTCGCATGCTACCCCTCCCCCCTTAGTAAAAGTCAAAATTAATTTCGATGAAGCTCAGAAACTCACGTGGAAAGAAATAAAATGTTTGTATGGTTTAATAAAAATAATAACCTCAAATCACATTTCCGAAGTTCTAAAAGTGTAACTCAAATCGGGAAGCGGAAATGTTCACACCTAAGGGATCCGTAGCGGGTTCATTTCAGCAGACGCTGTGACCACGCGGAAGGGCATCAGACGCAGCCATATTGGTAAGCCGCGCATTTGCATTCGTCTTCAGTTGGTAAAAAGCTATCATTGCTCTATCATTGTGCTTTTCCTCGGGAGCTCTACAACATAAAGTCCACACATCAATCATAGCGGCCAAGATAGTCTCACTAAATTTTTTTTTCGAGCTCCAATATTTTGGTCCGGACTTAATGTTAGCTCGAACAAAAACAACAATACCAATCCGGTCAGTACAAAATGCAGACTGCAGACTGCACACCGGGTACAAAATGCAGACTAGGTACAAATGCAGACTGCAGACTGGGTACAAAGTGCAGACTCAGAATTTATACTGTTTTTTCGTCTGATACGTGATGACATGCCATCTTACAACTTACCGAGCGTCACGCAATCGCTTTTCCGTTATCATCTTTCACGATTATTTGCGGGAGTTACTATATCACGGGCGAGGAGCAGGGGAAGAAGAAATGACCGAAATACAAGTGGTCAGCGGGGAAACAACTTTAATACTTCATATAGAGACATATCAGTTGTAGTTGCAGAAAACAATAGGGTTTGTAAAGCCAAAATGTTAACAGTAAACTTCGTTAAATAAAATGTTAAGCAATTCTTCAAAAGTGTTGATTGTCCATATATCTTTTACTGCTGTAATAAACAATGGAGGCATCGGAAAAGGCATCGGTGGTATTCGGAAAAGCACCAAGAAGAATCATATTTACGTTTTGTAACATGCAGAAAACAATCGTGCTGTAAAGCCAAAATGTTACCAAGTTATACTTCGCTAATTAAAAAGTTCGGCAATTTTCCAAACGCTTTGACTGGAACAATATTTTTGCTGCTATATTAGCGAAAGGAGGCATCGGGAAAGGCATCAAGAAGAATGATATTTACGATATGTAACTTGTTGTATGACGAAAAAAAAGTATCTTGCCTTGTTTAAGGCATTAATCACAGTTGGCTTGATTTTCACTTGAATTTTGTAATATCGACTTTCGATTCCGGAAAAATGAAAAGCCAAGCAACTCTACAAAAATTTTGTTCTCGATTTGTATATTTTTTGAGTCATTAATAAGTTTGTATCCACAGCCTAAGATAAGAAATTCAAAATTTCCATTAGCTGTAGTTCTTTTAGTGTTTATTATGTAAATTCGATCGCCAAATTTCACGTGGAAAAAGGCGAGTAGGAAAACACTGAGCTTCGAGAAACAGCCAAGTTGAGGCTAATGCGTTTGCCATGCTTAAATATTTATAATCAAGGCCACTCGTTTAGGAAACCTTTTTATAAAAGATCCAGACGTTAAAATAATTCTGTTTTCCGTTAGAAGTGTTTTTTTTCCTATTCAATTTAACAAATACACTCGGGATGAAAACTTAACGTCCGAACCGAACGGCAGGTGAAAGTTTAACAAGTTTAATAATACTTTTTACCACTGTACAAAATCCTACTAATAGAATAACTACTAGTAAAAATCACAACAATAATTAATAACTAATAATAACCAAGTAATTTTCATTAAATCTTAATTACCATATGAAAGTACAGTGGGTAAAGGAAAGCAATATGGGGGAAACTGAATTCCCATATAAAAACTTCTCTCCAAGGCTAATATAAATAACTAAACGTTGTATAAGAAAGAAGCTAGAGAAACAACTAAACAATGAACAAAAAGTAATATCTGAATAAATCTCATTTCCAGATAACAAAACAAAACTATGTACAGGGATAATTCAGTAATCGAGTTCTGAAGGAATTCAAACTGGAAGCTGACATAAAAAAATTAGTTAAAGAGTTCCATAAGTTTAAATAATGTTGTGTAGGCGTCTCCGCGAAAGGTATATCCAGACGACTTGCATGGAAAAACTGGCCTCAGCTATCGCAACTCACTTTTTTAAAATTGTATTTAAAACTAAACTGGTGAGCAGCACTCTGCGAACAGTAGTTGTAAAACTTCTCTATTCTCCGACGCTTTTCGTCTAACTGTCGTAGACTTCTTCGAGAGTTTTACAAGTAACACTAAACGCCTGTATTTATAAGCCATAGTTAGCGGCTATACGGGAGCCAATGACCATAAAGGCTTGGCCAGACCTACGCACAGGAACAGGCGAAGTTGCGAAAAATTTTAAACTTTTTAGGGGAAAGGTGGGAGAATTCATTTGGGGACCACGGTTTTGGTTTTCTTTTTTCGCCACGCACGTCACGCAGTAAGTTACAAAACGTAAATATGATTCTTCTTGATGCCCTTCCCGATGCCACCGGTGCCCTTTCCAATGCCTCCATTGTTTATTACAGCAGTAACAGATATTTGTGCAATCAACACTTTTGAAAAATTGCTTAACATTTTATTCAGCGAAGTTTACCGTTGACATTTCGGCTTCACAACGCCATTGTTTTCCGCAACTACAACTGATATGTCTCTATATGAAGTACTAACGTTGTTTCCCTACTGACCACTCGTATTTCGCTCATTTCTTCTTTCCCCGCTCGTCGCCCGTGATGTAATAACTCCCATTATTTGCCCTACTGTGGAATGTTCCTTGCCCGTTTCTTGATCACAATCGTTCTTAAGCCTTCATATAGTCTTCTCACTTTGCGCGCAAGTTGGTTGGTGTGATGTCTGTACAGAATATACCAACTTAATAAAAGTAGATGTAGATGTAGATGTAAATGAGATGTCACTATTGAATATTTAACACAATATTCGAGAAACAATTGACAGCTTTGCACTGGCACCGTTACGCAATGTATCAACAAATCGTAGTTAAAAGAGGGAACTTCAGATTGCTAATCGTAAATCCACAGGATAATACTGGACTTTGTCATTATGTTATATCTGTCCGTAAAACTTCGGTTATTAGTAGCAGTAAACGGGAGTTGAAAGTAATGAAATTATTCAAGTATAAATTTTCTTCTGCATGGCGCGACACCATCTACTATAATTTTATTTTTGCGCAAATTTTGGATTTCCATAGGATCGACGCAATTTTTGACATACTTTTAATATGCAAGTGCAGACAGTTCCGTCTGAAAACTGGAATTTGGTACGATTGTTCCTTATTCATCCAAGAATTTCTTGCATATACAAACAGAAAGCGGATATTTACGCACTAAGATAAATACCCGACAGCGCGTGGCTCAAAATTAGGTCTTAAGACCTAATTGCTCCCTTCGAACCTCCAAAACGAAGAACTACGACAAATCCTGAATAACTAGACATAAATTGACAGTTTGATCTGTGAAAGTTCACAAGAAATGTAAGTTGAAGGGTTGTAAAACTTACTAAGTAACATATTTTAAAACTTAACTAGTTTTATGTGAGAGCAGCAAAAACTCGAATTCGAAGTGTTTACATGTACTCCACTCAACTTTCTTCGTTTATTACTGTAGTGGTTAACAATTGCCTTAATTAAGTGTGGGGAAATCCCACACAAACATGATCCTCGCAGGTGAGAAGCTAATGTACCTGCCAGGATTAATTCTTGAATGAATTTTTCTTTCGTCTCCGAAATTCTATGAAATTCTTTGAAGTTTTTACCTTCGACTCCATTTTCATATTCCATCATTCGATACGCCCATCTCCTTTCATAGGAATTTAAAAGAGAAAATCTCTCTACCTTCCGAATACCCAAATAAAAGAGGAACTTGAAATGCAGACTTAATATAAATAAAATATATATTTCTGTCAGTTCAGTTTTTAGTTTTTGGTTTTTCCCAATAATCATTTTAAATTGATAGTCTCATTGGCAGCAGGCACGTTAAGTTTTAAAGAAAAAAATTAATCTTAAACACTTTTTGGAAAGACATTACCATCCATTAGAAAGAAAATTTTTGACGGGGTTACGAAGCATATTACATTGCAAAATAATGCCTCTAATTGAAATAATTATTTGTACTATCTATCGTCAGGTAGAAGCTTCCTCGATGTCAAATCAAAAAAGAGAGAATGGACTGTTATACCAGGATGAAGACTGAAAACTATTCGCGTTCAAATACCTTATTACATGATAGAGTTTGGTACCTTAGTGGAGTATTCTCTCCGCAGTACGTAGTAAACGCTTCCGTGGATGTTTTTCAGAGAGTCCTTGTTTGTAAAATGGCTGCCTTCGTTCAACTCGCAGTATTTGATGTCGTTCTTGACCTTGTAGTTTATCGACAGACATCGACAGTCGTTGATACACTTCAGATAGCACTGCTGTGAGTTTGAACTCACAGAATTGTGAAAGACATGGCCGACAAGCTCTTTGTCATGATAGGCGTCTTGTTGCTCATTAAAAGAGATCTTTTCACATTTTCCAGTGGAGCAGAAGCCCTTTACTTGAAAAGCTGAAATAAGTATACAAAAAAACTTTGCAACCATCATTCTTATCGTTTTCACACCCCACCTGGGGAACGATGTTTCTCATAATGTCATTCTTGAGCAGATTACTAAGTTAAGATATCGCCCATCCCTATGTGTCAATCAACGTGCAAGATACCAATCAACTGAGTCACAAAAAATAACTTCACAATATAAATATTCAAGGCTCGGAAAAGTAATAAAAACAAGTGATAAAATGGATGTGTCCAATTATGACGCACAAGTAACATGATGCAGATGTTCTACTTAAGACCCCCTCCCACGCATAAAGATATAACTTCAAAACTCTTCCTTTCGAAACTGTGAACATGTTGTTTAAAACACATGTGAGATAACCTGGGCTAGTTTTTCTGGGTTTTTGCAGGTAGTGTCTAAGCCTAAATCTAACGCATTGTGGTGATCTAGCAACTCGAGCGAAATATGTTTCTCATATGTCCTTCTTGAGCTGATTATTTATTCAAGATATCGCCTTCTCTCTTTGGTAGTCAAATGCAGACGGACAAAACCGGATGTATTTTTTAATTATTGATATCTTGACAATAGCCTTTACCGTGCAAGTTCCGTGTCAGTTAATTTGTGAGCAGAATTAAGCCGTTTCAATAATAAATCTTCCATTAGAGCAAGCAAGCTACTCTTAAAATCTCCAAGCAGGAATATGCAGAACAATATCACATATTCTGAAATCATTTCCATATTTATATCAGTGATTAAACACAGTTTCAATGCAGGACAACTAGAGCGATTAGAGGAATTGTGGGTTGTGTGTGGATTTATATGTAGAAAGTGGAGCTACGCCATTGGTGGGAATATGGTGACGAGAAAACAGGAATAAATTAGTTGAATGAATCCTAATCCCCACGGAATCAACGAGCGCTTTTCATTCAACTAATTTTCATTCCACTTTCTACATATAAATCCACACACAACCCACAATTCCTCTAATCGCTCTGACGAAGGGCTAACGCTCGAAACGTCAGCTTTTTTACCCTTTACGGTGGCTAATTTACGTTTTCAACCCAGTTGTTAACACTAAATTACTCACCTTTGACAGTAGTTGTTTAAATTCAGAGCACGTTCTATTTGGGTGTAGAAACAACCCTTAGTATGCTTACTTGCCATATCCCGAAAAAATCTTCCGATTTTGCAGACAAATTGCAGCAAATAGAGTAGCGACGCATATAATATGCGACAGATGAAATAGCCTTCAATCTTCGTTCGCCTTGCTGCCAACTTCATGTTTGTATGATTTAGTATCACAAGTAAAGGAAAATTTAACATAACTATTTATTGATGAAGATAATGTCTCAAATAACTAAGTCAACAAAATACTCTCACTAACACTGTTTAAGTCAATGCCGAACGACGAAATTATACAGGCAACATGTATATATTTAACACTGATATCATGAAGAAGGCTTAGAAAGCTTCATGTTGTACTTGCTACATAAAGATTAAATTCAATTTCAGAACATGACTTGTTCGATGACTCTCGTTGAGTTAACTTTGACAGTTTATAATAGTATTTCCTCTTTAAGCTGCAAGATTTTAAAGCGTTGTCTGTTGTGGCATAAATAGGCAAGTTTGGTCTACAGTTTTCACAGAAAGACAGAAGGTTTTCGATACGATTAATTCTACTGAAACCAGCAAATTAAAACAAATGTTCCTATCTTTGGTTCAGTTTGCTAAAAAGCAAGCAGATGGTTGTTGATGATTGTAATGTTACAGCCATCAGAGTGCTCGCCGTAAGTTTATGTCCTCGACCGCATAGCTATCATCAGAGACAACAGTGCGCTCTTCGTGGTTGATTCAATCTTTCATGATTCTAAAAGAATACAAAAAAGTGAAGATAGTGTTGTACACCGCGATAAATAGGCAACGGCTGTTTCTTGACAAGTGGAAGAGATTTTCTGTTCAACAGTTCGTTTTGCAAGTGGAAAAATGGAAAACCAAATATCAGGAAAACTACGGCGTAAGGAAACGAACCAGCGCCACCAAAACTCCACACAGCAACAAAAATTGAGGCTGTGACTAAAAATGAGACGGGGACGTGGGGACTGAGAGTAAGAATCGAGGACGTGGGACTCAGTGACGTGGACTCGCGGACGTGGACTCGCGGACGTGGACTCGCGGACGTGGACTCGCGGACGTGGACTCGGGGACGTGGGACTCGGGGACGTGGGACTCGGAGACGTGAGACTCGGAGACGTGGAACTCGGGGACGCGGGACTAGAGACGTGGAACTCGGGGACGTGGGACTCGGGGACGTGGACACGGGGACTCAGGGACGTGATAAACAAACAACACCTGATATTTGCGCTGAATTTGTAGAGTACAATTTTCGGTGGTCTCGAGACAGCTATCATATGCTGGAGAGCTTATTAGTAGAAGCCGATGGTTTTCAGCGTCCATGGTTCGGCCGGACATGTTTGCTTGCCTATTTGACCGTGAGAACTCTGGGTACAGAGCAGTTTCAACGCAGGGGGTCTTGAAACTGTTAAAAACATCGTGGGCAGCTATGGAGGACTTTCCTAGTAAGTACCTGTGTTTTCTTCTCGATCCGTGGTCTATCCTTGCTAAAAAAAAAATAAGGAATAAAACACAGTTACTTACCAGGAAAGTCCTCCATGGCTGCCCACAATGTTTAAAACCCCCTGCGTTGAAACCATTGTACCCAGAGTTCTCACGGTCAAACAGGCAAGCAAATATCCGGCCGAGTCATGGACGCTAAAAATCATCGGCTACTACTGACAAGCTCTCCAGCATATTACAACCTGTTTATCACGTTCCCGAGTCTCCACGCGTCCCCGAGTCCCCGCGTCCCACGTCTCCGAGTCCCACGTCTCCGAGTCCCACGTCTCCGAGTCCCACATCTCCGATTCCCACGTCTCCGATTCCCACGTCTCCGATTCCCACGTCTCCGATTCCCACGTCTCCGATTCCCACGTCTCCGATTCCCACGTCTCCGATTCCCACGTCTTCAAGTCCCTGCGTCCCACGTCCCCGAGTCCCACGTCCCCGAGTCCCACGTCCCCGAGTCCCACGTCCCCGAGTCTCAGTCCCCACGTCTCAGTCCTACTTTTAGTCACAGCCAATAATTGAAAACCACAAAGGTACACCGCGGTAAATAGCTAGGTCTGCTTTAGGCATGAAGCGCCTGCTCTCTGTGATGAAGATATTCGTGAAACGATGCACAGAGGCGTAAGGAGTATTCTCTTTACGGCCAACACTGTCTATTCTGGTTTGCCTGTAGCGTAGAAGTTCTGCCGCAGGTGACACAGACATTGTCGCACCGATAAGAAACGTTCCTGAGCCATGAAAATCTCATCGTGTAACGATTCTATCCGTAAAGAGGAGCCAATTTAGTTCTCTTCTGTCTCGGCAGCGATGACAATTGATTGTTCCACAAAACTGAAGAAAGTGAACAAATGATGACAAATTCTAAGAAGACTTTGAGAGAATCACAATTTATAGCGAAGAAAAACAATGATTAGTTATCTAGGTCTTTCTGGGAAAATTGTAACTCGAGCCAACCGATCTCAGGAATTATTCAAACTGTCATGGGAACCTGTGGGCTTACATTTTTCGGTTGGAATCGGATTCCAGAAAACGCATGATATGATAACAGTGGAAAGGAATATGAATACCAGTTATTTGACATATTTTCAGAGAGAAAGGTTACATTTAAAAACTTAGCATGACAGCCGACACGAAAATGAGTAACTTAATAAGCTCTACATTCCCCTCGACATATACTCAGACCGAGGCAGCTCCCTATCTCCGCCTCTCCCCCCTACCACTCACTCGAAAAACACTTAAAGGCTCCATAATTCCGTAAGCTTTAAACCCACTCTTTCCAGATATATATCCATGCAAACCAGCCCCACTTATTATGACTCATCACATAATTTGTTGTAAGTCTAAGAGGTCAACACTTAGGTGTGTTGTCACGCAATTTTCTTGTTGGATGATATCAAGAAATAAAATTTGACCAATCCACTAGATTCTCCTAAACAAGGGCTGAAATATATCTAATTGTTTCCGGATGTTATTGACAAATTCAGTTCTGAAAACTCACGAGCGTTTTCTCAGGTTGTGTTTCCAAATAACTTAAGTTTTCAATGTAACACAGTAGGAATGGTATGATAACCGTGATAACTACAGTTTAACTATCATCTGCATAAGATTTTATTTGTCTGACGTTGACCCGGTCAGTCAACAAGCTGCCACAAAGTAGCAGTTGTAGACAGACGCCGCTATGGAAAGGAGAAGCATCAATCGAGACTGACATTTGGCGTTGGACATGTGTTTCTTCGCAGTATCGTTGAATGCTTGAATTTTGATCTTTGCTAGTGAAAATTTGACAAAACCATTACCAGCTTGGTAATTCTGGAGAGTAATCCCATCAAGTTCAGTGATGGTTAGCTCGTAAAATGTGTTGAGGTCTGTCTGACCAGAGAAAAAGGGCTGTTTGTGAACAGAAGGCAGAGTCTTCTAATTCACCCACTCGTGTTGACAGTAAAACAAGAAAAACAGCAAGCAAGCACACAGGAATAGCCTTTGATGCACCAGCTCCAACGAAGTATTAGATACAAAACAATACTAGCCCTCAATTAAAAAAGCAAATTTAAAGCTAGTTTAGGCGGGTAGTAAGACTGTTAAACTTACAGAGTAAATCTAGTAGTGACTATTGCATCATTGATAGGACCTATAAATAAGCAGATAATATATATACATTAAATTATTGATGTTAACGGCTATGGAAGGGTGGTTAAATAAAGTTACTTAATACGTTCATTTGTTTTGTAAGCCAACGTATTCGTCCTCTTCCATTAAAACTTGAAAAAGTTGATTTGAAATATTTTTCATAAATACATACATTACTTTGATACTTTTCGTAGTTCTTGAGGGATGTTGTGTCATATTTTGGTCCCTAGTCTTGAAAACCACTTAATTTGTTAGTTAGATCTTGAATGTTTTACATAATAATTGCCGGCAGAAGAAAATCTTGTATGATAATTATATATCTCATTTCTAAAGATTAGAAATATTGCATTGGGTTAATTTATAACAATTACCATACATTATAGCTGAACTGGATTTAGAATAAAGCATATTTAATTTACTGGAATAGTATTTATAAAACCACAGGATTGGGGAAAGTCCTTTTCTATTGCTGGGTGGGGGGGAGGATTTTGGTTGTGTCACGATAAAATTTACCTGATCCCACGAAAGAGAAATCTAATCACCCCCCTCATTGGTAGTTAATTGGCTGTAGTCTTCCCTTTATACTCTGTTGGTAACGACTGATCCCCCCTGAGACTACATTTAATCAACGGATCTAATCATTCCTACGTGAGTTCCACATTAAAAACTAGCAAAATGACACCAGCTTTGTCAGATGGTCCATTAGTTTTACGCTCAGTCTCATTAATTCTCAAATACCAACTGATAAATCATTATTGGAGCCACAAAACTGTGTTGTTTAGTCAGCGTACTATTTGCCTCCGATCCAGAACTGAGTCGTATCACCCGAGTTTGAGGTGCAACGGAATTTGGGATTTGTAGAACTGTACATTCCAAAGTTGTCCTCGTCATTTATGGCCGACTTGCTTGCGTCGAAATCGCAGGACCGATGGGTAAAATAAGAGTCGACATGCAGAGGATAACTGCCTTTTTTATACCCTGTAAATGCAGTGCAATTCACACACTCATTTCCCCGGATGTTGACATATTCGTAAGGTCGACAAGTGTCTCCTTTCAAGGGTACGTCTCTAATGATGTCAAAGTCTTCAAGCGAGGCTCTCAAGTAATCTGTGTATACGGTGCCATCTGTGTTGTATCGGCAAGTAGCTCTCCAGTGAGTCGAGTGATCTCTGAGCCAAAGGAGGTAGGGTCGTTTGATGAGGTAGGCCTGCCAATTTGGGGCATCACCGCTGATGGCTTGGTAGTCATCGTAAAACACGATGTTCTCCTGTAGAGGAAGTAGAATTGATGAGGAAGTTATGATCATCGTCAAAACTGTCGCTTATGAAACAAAACTCATGGAAGCAACATGATATTGAATGTATTTCACATCTTTCCGCTGAATGCGCTTTCGTCCTACGCTCATTTATTAGATATTTATAGAAGATTTAAAGAGAAAGCAAATACCTGAAAACGATCTTTGTTGGATAGGCTAAACGACTCAATCAGGTTCCAAGTGAACCCAGGCTCTGAGTCAAAATCACAGAACACCTGGAAGGTTTGATTATTGTTATCATTAACTCTGTACAATCCGGAGGCGGTGGACCCGGCCGCTTTGTAATCCTGACAGCTTCCTTTTAGCTGAATCTCGCAGTGTTTTCCTACAAACTGTACAGGACAGGAACAGTTGTACCGAACACTTGTGGGTTGACAGATCTCAGTACAGGTTCCTCTATTAAGACACGGATTGTTCTTGCAGCAGCCATTGGTACACGTAAAGTCATCAGCACAAGGAACAATGTTGGTAGGAGCCTAAAATGTATATGAAAAAAAGATTAGGCGCTTCTGACGGGCTGAAAACGCGAGCGCAAAGCTAAAAAATAGGCTCACAATGCGTACTTGTTTCAAATAAACGTTGATGCGGTTTGGATTGGCTTTACAGTAAATGTAATGCATTTTGTCATGTTATCGCGATAAATGTCGAGTAAAAATTCCATGTATTGACTCCCAAGCTGCAGACGAGAAAACGGTTAGGGGAAACATGTTTGGACGTCTAGTTTCGAGGAAATTATGAGTGCTTACCATTTGACAGAATAAACTGGTTTAGATGACTGGTAAATAAAGGTAACAGTTTTTCCAAAATCAGCAAACCAGCCGAGCGAGATGGTTCATTTGACGTCAGTTCCATTTGACATTCAACCGACATTTCCGGATTTTTTACTAAATGGTGAGCACCCTAGCTCTCTTAGTGTGCGGTTACACAGGACTCTTTTTATCGTGGCAAGTGACCTTTTAAACGACGGGAAACTGCATTTTGTGAGTGGTTCCAATATTTCCCCGCAGTTTCCCGTGATAAATATTTATGGCCTACGTGATTGACAGAGTAAAGAGTCACCGAAGTAAACATTTTGCAGGTTAGGGCTTGTCGCATATTGCAACTGAGTGTATTTGAGCATCTGAGGTTCTCAGCCATGAAATCCTTTGCACAATTAACTGTCAAAATGTGTTCGAGTCAACGCGCTTCAGGCATTTACACACTACTTCAGAGACTGATGAAATATTTGCGTTCGACAAAAAGGTAACTGCCGTGTACTTTTATTCATCAGCGGAGTTATTGGAATCAGTCGCTAGTAGCAGAGTAGAATTTGTTTACGATAAACCTGGATAAACCAGCAAGTAACTGCGACTGTTAGCTAATAGTATTCGAGCTTCTAGCGTAGAACACTGTACGTAAACTATACTTTTACAAATTAGTTTTTCTGTTTTAACATGATCGGTGAAATGTGAAAAAATTTTTGGCAGGAGGTTTGAAGGCATTAGTTTTTACCTCTTTCATGCTGAAAGCAATGAATGAGGTATTGTGATGAAGCAGATGTTGACGGAAGTTGTCGATCGTGGGTGGAAGTTGTATTCCGTTGACGGAAGTTACATTGTGGACCGTGAACGGAAGTAGTCGCGCATGCTACCCCTCCCCACTTAGCAAAAGTCAAAATTAATTTCGATGAAGCTCAGAAACTCACGTGGAAAGGAATAAAATATTTGTATGGTTCAATAAAAATAAAACCCTAAATTATATTTCCGAAGTTCTAAAAATGTAACTTAAATCGAGAAGCTGAAATGTTCACACCTAGGGGACCCGTAGCGGGCTCATTTCAACACACGCTGTGACCACGCGGAATAGCATCAGAGGCAGCCATATTGGTAAGCCGGCATTTGCATTCGTCTTCAGTTGGTGTAAAGTAATCATTGCTCTTTCATTGCGCTTTTCCTCGGAAGCTCCTCAACATACAGTCCACACAGCGGCCAAGATAGTCGCACTAAATTTTTTTTCGAGGTCCAATACTCTGGTCTGAACTTAAGGCTCGCTCGAACAAAAACAGCAATACCAATCCGGTCAGTACAAAATGCAGACTGCAGACTGCAGACCGGGTACAAAATGCAGACTAGATACAAATGCAGACTGCAGACTGGGTACAAAATGCAGACTCAGAATTTATACTATTTTTTCGTCTGATACGTGATAACATGTCATCCTACAAGTTACCGAGTGTCACACAATCGCTTTTCTGTGATCATCTTTGACGATTATTTGTACCACTGTAGAATATTCCTTGCCCTTCATATAGTCTTCTCACTTTGCGCGCGAGTTGGTTGGTGTGATGTCTGTACAGAATATACCAACTTGATAAAGGTAGATGTAGATGTAGATGTAAATGAGATGTCACCATTGAATAGTTAACACGCGCAATATTCGAGAAACAATTGACAGCTTCGCATTTGCACCGTCACGCAATGTATCAACAAATCGTAGTTAAAAGAGGGAATCTCATATTGCTAATCATAAATCCACAGGATAATACTGGACTTTGTCATTATGTTATATCTGTCCGTAAAACTTCGGTTATTGGTAGCACTAAACGGGAGTTGAAAGTAACGAAATCATTCTAGTATAAATTTTCTTCTGCATGGCGCGACACTATCTACTACAATTTTGTCGGGATTTCCATACGATCGACGCAATTTTTGACCTACCTTCAAAATAAAAATGCAGATAGTTCCGTCTGAGAACTGGAATTTGGTACGATTGTTCCTTATTCATCCAAAAATTTCTTGCATATACAAGCAGAAAGCGAATATTTACGCACTAAGATAAATACCCGACAAAATTAGGTCTTGAGACAAATCCTGAATATCTATACATAAATTGACAGTTTTGATCTGTGAAAGCTCACAAGAAATGTGAGTTGAAGGGTTGTAAAACTTACAAAGTAAAATATTTTAAAACTTACCTTGTTTTGTGTGAGAGTAACAAAAACTCAACTTTATTTTGAAGTGTTTACATGTACTTCACTCAACTTTTTTCGTTTATTACTATAGTGGTTAACAATTGCCTTAATTAAGTGTGGGGAATCACAGACATGATCCTCGCAGGTGAGAAGCTAATGTACCTGCCAGGATTAATTCTTGGATTGAATTTTTCTTTCGTCTCCGAAATTCTATGAAATTCTTTGAAGTTTTTAACTTCGATTCTTTTTTCATATTCCATAATTCGAAACATCCATCTCCTTTCATAGGAAATTGAAAGAGAAAATCTCTCTACCTTCCGAATACCCGACTAAAAGAGGAACTTGAAATGCAGACTTAATATAAATAAAATATATATTTCTTTCAGTACAGTATTTAGCTTTTGGTTTTTCCAAATAATCAATTGAAGTTTGCCAAAGTTTCAGTTGGCAGCAGTTACGTTAAGTTTAAAAGAAAACAATTTATCTTAAACACTTTTGGGAAAGACATAACTATCCATTGGAAAGAAAATTTTGACGGGGTTAAGAAGTATATTACATTGAAAAATAATGCCTCTAATTGAAATGATTATTTGTAATATCTTTCGTCAGGTTGAAGCTTCCTCGATATCAAATCAAAAAAGAAAGAATGGACTGTTATGCCAAGATAAAGACTGAAAACCATTCGCGTTCAAAATACCTTATTACATGATAAAGTTTGGTACCTTAGTAGAGTATTCTCTCCGCAGTACGTAGTAAACGCTTCCGTGGATGTTTTTCAGAGAGTTCTTGTTGGTAAAATGGCTGCCTTCGTTTAACTCGCAGTATTTGATGTCGTTCTTGACCTTGTAGTTTATCGACAGACATCGACAGTCGTTGATACACCACAGATAACACTGCTGTGAGTTTGAAGTGACAGAGTTGTGGAAGACATGACCGACAAGCTCTTTGTCATGATAGGCGTCTTGTTGCTCATCAAAAGAGATCTTTTCACATTTTCCAGCGGAGCAGAAGCCTTTTACTTGAAAAGCTGAAATAAGTATACAAAAAAACTTTGCAACCATCATTTTTATCGTTTTCACATCCCGCCTGGGGAACGATGTTTCTCATAATGTCCTTCTTGAGCAGATTACGAGGTTAAGGTATCGCCCATCCCTATGTGTCAATCAACGTGAAAGAAACCAATCACTTGGGTCACAGAAAATAACTTCACAATATAAATATTCAAGGGTCGGAAAATTAACAAAAACAAGTGGTAAAATGAATGTGTTCAATTATGGCGAACAAATAACATGATGCAGATGTTCTACTAAAGACCACCTCTTACGCATAAAGACATAACTTCAAATTTCTTTCTTCCAAAACTGCGAACGTGTTTTTAAACTCATGTGGGATAACCTTGGCTAGTTTTTCTGGGTTTTGCAGATAGTGTCTATGCTTTAATCTAACACATTGTGGTGATCTAGCACGTTTCCACACCCAACTCGAGAAAAACATGTTTCTCATAATGTCCTTCTGGAGCTGCTTATTTATTCAAGATATCGCCTTCTCTATTTGGTAGTCAAATGCAGACGGAAACAACCGGAAATAATTTTAATTATTGATATCTTGACAATAGCCTTTACCGTGCAAGTTCATCAGATTCAATGTCAGTTAATTTGTGAGCAGAATTTAGCCGTTTTAATAATAAATCTTCCATTAGAGCAAGCAAGCCACTCCTAATATCTACCGGCAGGAATATGCAGAACAATATCACAGATTCTGAAATCATCTCCTCATTTATATCAGTGATTAAAAACCGTTTCAATGCAGGACAACTATTTGCAAGGGACCCCCCCCTGGAGAACGAAAAGAAGTAAAGATCTGTAATAGATTTTTTGGCGAAAAGTAACGTCAACTTATTTTATTTCAGTTAAGTGCATTATTCAGTACAAAAAAGCCTGAATTTTTCAACGATTGATGTCCGATTACAGCTGCCAAATGACAAACAAGTGATAGTGTTAATTTCGATCAGCGGTACAGAAAAAACATTTAGTGACTTATGGTTTGTTGACACCCAGTCATCCATCATTACTTTGTTTTGTCGAAAATTACTTTGTTTTCTAGTTAATAATATACATGGAAAAATTACTCAGTTCTGATTGGTTAAGATAAATGCAGTTTTCAGGTAATTCAGTGCAGAAGAGGGTTAATTCAGTGCAAAGAAAGAAACAAATCAGACAGTCTGATTGGTCAATAATCAAAGAAACTCACATATAGCCAATCAAATGCTAGCCTTGGATGTCGCAATAAAATTTGAAAATTTGAAAATTTGCGAGCGAAACAATGGCCGGCGTTTTAAGTAGGTTTTCTTTCGCCACCGCAGCTGAAAAACAGCTTAAACAATGAAAACACTGTAAAAGGCGCTGCTTTTTGGTTGTCGGTTTGGAAAAAGTGGTGTTTAGAGAAGGGTATTGCCAAGGAAATCGAAAATTACGAGCCGACCCGGCTTAACACTCTGCTCGAGCGATCCAACGCCGAAATTAAAAACAAACATGGTTAAAACTTGGAAACGACGATTCCATTTCATCAAAAGTGATTCGGACACAGACTGAACAATTCCTTGAACTGTTTAGCCGGACTTTGAACTTTTTTGCACCTTAAAGATGCGAAGATATCATTGCATATTATTGTTTTGATCGTACGCGGTTGTTTTGACCGAACGCACGGTTTGAATAAATTATTTATTGCGCTTGATGCGCGCGCTTTGCTCATGTTTAATTATGATAGACCATCTCGTATTTTTCCATGTATATTATTAACAGGCAATCATATGATTTTTCTCGTGCAATTTGGAATAAACAAGCACTTGTTAATTTTTTCAAAGACCACAAATTGCACTCGCCCTACGGGCCCGTGCAATTTTGTTAGTCTTTGAAAAAATTTACTCGTGCTTATTTATTCCAAATTGCACTCGAAATCATGTGATTACCTATACGAATAAAGAAATTTTCATTTCGTGTTCGTGAAATATATAGAAAATAATCTTCCTTGTATTCACGATAAAGAACCAAGGAATAATTGATGATGTTTACAGTTACAATTATCTTCCACAGTGTCTCCTCACTGTGGCTGTCCCCTCTCCATGGTAATAGGCCTATTGCAAATAGTAAACGCAATGGATTGTATCATCAGTTTGTCAAACTAAGTCTATAAAAACTACCAGGAGGCTGGAAACATTTTAATTTTTGATTTTATTTTGGCACTAAACATTCAAAAAGTTCTCAGTTTCACTCAAATAACAGTAGCTTTTTTCATATTTGGCTATATATAACTAGATTTTCCGGCTCGGAAGCTTCGTCAAACTCACATTTGACAGTGGTTGTTTAAATTCAAAGCACGTTCTATTTGGCTGTAGAAAACAACCCTTAGTGAGCTTACTTGCCATATCGCCAAAATATCCTCCGATTTGGCGGTCAAATGGAGTAGCGACGAACATTATATGCGACAGATAAAATAGCCGTCAATCTTCGTTCGCTGTGCTGCCAACTTTATGTTTGTATGATTTATTATCACAAGTAAAGGAAAACTTAACATAACTATTTATTGATGAAGATAATGTGTCAAATAACTAAGTTAAAAAAAATGCTCTTCCACTAACACTGTTTCAGTCAATGCCGAACAACGAAATTATACCGGCAACATGTATATATTTATTACTAATATCATAAAGAAGGCCGAGAAAGCTTCATGTTGTACTTGCGACATAAAGATTAAATTCAACCACAGAACATGATTTGTTCGATGGTACTCGATGAGTTTAACTTTGTCAGTTTATAATAGCATTTCCTCTTTAAGCTGCAAGATGTTAAGAGGCCGTGACTGTAAATATCGAGAATCGTTGGCCAGGCTAAAAAAATCGAAAATTCTGATAATTTGCCTGGAAAACCCTTTTAGAGAGATACATTCAAAAAAATTATTTTAAAGTTTGAAAAATCAAATGTGTCCGAGGAAATGGGGAAAAACGAAAATTCGGGTTTTTACCTTATTAATTATATTAAAAAATACAGTAAAATTAACCAACTTTAGTGTGCGAGTACTGAAGGAGGATGTTTGGTAAGAAATCGGGGGTGTTTTTACTTCAAAGTATAATTCATTTGATTTTTATTTGTGGCATTTTAAGGAGCTTTGGTTTAATTTTTAAATTCACGTGATTTTTTAACAAAGTGCTGTCAAACGCTTGTTGCAAAAAGCGAAAAATCGAGCAACTTCAAGCCTTCAAAACGCGTCTTGGTATGTGTGACATCATATCAAACTACATGCTGGCACAAAGTTTGGTCCTTATACTAACACAATATGAAAATCTGGGTAATTCAGAAACGTGCCGGCAAAACATAAAGGTTTGCGACGCACTGTGGCCAGAGGTCACGAGTTTGCATGATACAAATCAGTTGTAGAAATCGTACCGCCTAACGGTTCTGGTGTAGGAAAGGCTCTTTTGACGGCTACAACATGAAATTTACAAGAATAATGACCAGCATTTAATGGCATTTAATTCGTTTTTTTAAGCCAATGAGTTTTTTGTTTCATTTCTCGTAACTGTCTTGACGAAAAGCAAAATGTTTCAATTGCGTGGCAATTGTCACGTTGGATCAAAGGTTAAGTTGCCGAGTAAAGCGGACACAATCCTTTTTTCGTCAAAACTCCATTCTAAAGCATCCAGTCCTATATATCTCGTTTTATATTACTGGTATAAATTCTTTTATGAGTCTATATCGAACAACATCCAGCCGGCCTGATCCTGTCTGACTGCCAAGTGCGGTTCGAAGGGGACTTTTTCATTTCCGGTTTGCGCCTCTAATACGGGGAGCGCGGAGCTATGGGGTTGAGTGGGCTGTAGCCCCACCAAGAACAATTTGTTATCATTATTATTTATTTAATCTTTGAATTAAAAATTTGACAAATTTTTCTTTGGATTGAAACGCGTTTCCGGTGATTTCAGAAGCTCTAGATTTCAAAATTTGCCGGAGGAGCATACCCCAGGATACCCTGTCAGCAGTCTTTCTGTACTAAGAAAGGCGTACTAAGAAACAGACAAAAGGAGGCCCTCCTCGGAGGGGAGGCCCCAGGGCCCTCATAGATAATTATAAGTTGGTGCCAATGAGCTCACACTACGTGGGAACTGCAATAGCTCCTCCGATCCAAAATATGCTCCACGGCCCCCGTTTTATATCACCGTTCATATAAAACTCAAATTTTTGACGCAGCCTTTTGCCATTTGCCTTTTAAACTTCACTGCAAGAGCAGCATCTAACAAGGTCTTCGAGCAGAGCGACGTAAGATGTCTTTTTTCTATGATCAACCCCAGGTGGTAATGCAAGATTGAAACTCTCGCAAAGGAGTTTTAAGACTGCGAGTTCGAGATTTTTGAGTGTGTTATTCTCGACCATGAAACAGTTGTACTGTTGGTAATGAATAGAATGAGTTACATTTAACTGCTCAAAAATAGACTCCTTAGCATTTGACAAATTAAACTCTTCCTCCATAGCAACGAGATCTTGCTCAGTTACAGCTTGTGCGCAGGGGGCTGTCTGCTGTTTCACTTTTGCTGCCATTCTGGAAAAAAAATGAAGCTACTTGTTAAGTAAAAAAAACTCAGAGACACTGAACAAGCGTTCCCCGTTCAATTCCTTTGCTCTTCTCATTTCTGTTGCAACAATTTCCGCGTCGACCTTCTTGCCGCTTTCTTGTCCGATGGTAAGTCAGGTACTCTCATTGCTTTTCGTTAAACCGGTAAACTTTCTTTACTTGTTTTAAAGCGAAGCCTTCAGGCAGTGTTACATGTCCAGTGCTACGAGGACAGGTTTCAGGAGGTAGAGGAATAGTTGGCACGGAACTTGAACCTTCCTTGAGCCTTGCCGCATATTTAACCTTCGCTTTATCAAGAAGTGTCTCCCTTTCAACCGTCTTTGTGCATGTTCTGAACGCGAGATGCTTTTCTAGAGAAGAGTGCCGTTGGAAACTATGCGTGCAGCCCTCCTTTGGACATGGAAACACTTGATCCCTAGTACAGTCTTTCAATTCGACAAAGTCAGCCATGTTTGGATTTTCAGAACTTGCACCACAAGCCCCCCCAAGAAGAGAAGCAAAGCTACAGAATGACATCGTTTTTTGTTTATGCTCTATGAAAAACCTCGCACGTGTTTACCTTTAAGAAAAAGACCGTGGTTGCATCATAGAGAATTATCGCCCGGACTGCAACACGGTACAATTGCTATCGTGACATAAGTCCTTTTTATCAAGTTTTATGACGGAAATGTGGCCATTTTTCCCAAAAAGATAAGAGTTAATAGCATGAAAAGTTGGGCTGTTATCTTGAGGTGAAAAACTTCACAGCAGAAGCTTGCGGTGTTGCGTGACTTTGTTTACTCACATAACTTTTTCCAAGATATCCAAGATATTTCAAAAGAAATATTATCGCAGTTGCAGAAAACGTAACTATTCAACTAAGAACGATGTCGATAATAAACCACTTGTCAATAAAAATGGTGAACTATACAGCGGCCCTTATCTATAGTTGTGTAGGTAGTGTTGTTGAAATAGCGAGTCGACAATAAAAGTCTTCTGCAATTCAAATTAACAGAAAAGTTCGTATCTACACATCAATTTACAGCCCTCTTCAGCAATGTCTGCGGATTTTTTATTCTATAATTTCATATCATTTCCATATCAAAGAGTTTTTTAACCATCTTTAACTATCTTGTTTACTTCGTAGTTCTCAAGTACGATTTCTACAACTGATTTGCATCATGCAAATTCTTGACCTTGGCCACAGTGCGTTGCAAACTCTTTAATTTTGCCGGCACTTTTCTTAATTACCCAGATTTTGTATTTCATATTATTTTCATATAAGGACCAAAATTTTTGCCAGCATGCAGTTTGATATGATTTCTCACATGCCAAGACACGTTTTGAAGGCTTGAAGTTGCTCGATTTTTCGCTTTTTGCAACAAGCGTTTGACAGCACTTTGTTAAAAAATCATGTGAATTTAAAAATTAAACCAAGGCTCCATCTCCCTAAAAGGGTTTTCCAGACAAATTATCAGAATTTTCGATTTTTTTAGCCTGGCCAGCGATTCTCGATATTTACAGTCATGGACTCTTAAAGCGTTGCCTGTTGAGGCGTAAACGGCAAGTTTGGCTACAGTTCTCATAGAAGACAATAGGTCTACAATACGATTCTACTGAAACCAGCAAATTAAAACAAATGTTCCTATCTTTGGATCAGTTTGCTAAAAAACCAAGCTGATAGTTGTTGATGATTATATAGAGTGCTTGCTGTAAGTTCATGTCCTCGACCGCATAGCTATCTTCAGAGATAACAGCACACTCTTCGTGGTTGATTCAATCTTTCATGATTTTAAAAGAATACAGAAAAGTGATGATAGTGTTGTACACCGCGAGAAATAGGAAGACGCCGAGAATAATGCGAGAGGTACGTTTAGCCTCATCCATGATACGAAAAGCTGCAGGGTGAAAAACTTGGAAGTAGTCTCTTCCAGAATTTGTCTTAAGGAGGCCAATTTTCATCTCGTAACTGGAAAGAGCGATCATTTCGAGTTTAGCGACAGTCACCTCGTACAAAACGTTGAGCGTTAGCAGACCATTCTTCAACGGTTGTTTCCTGACAAGTGGAAGAGATTTTCTGTTGACCATTTCGCTTTGCAAGTAGAGAGCAATAAATGGGAAACCAAATATCAGGAAAATTACGGCGTAAGGGAACGAACTAGCGCCACCAAAACTCAACACAGCCACAATAATTGAAAAGCACGAAGGGACACCGCGGTAAATAGGTAGGTCTGCTTGAGGCATGTAGCGCCTGGTCTCCTCTCGGCTCCTGGCCGATTTAGTTTTCTTCTGTCGTGACAACGAGGACAATGGATTGTTATACTCGTCTAGCGAGCTATGCCTTTAGCGTTTTACTGCTTATAAAGCTGAAGAATGTAACAAATGATGACAAATTCTAGGAAGACTTTGGAAGAATCCCAATTTATGGTGAAGCAAAACAATGATTAGTTATCTCGGTCATTCTGGGAAAATTGTAGCTCGAGCCAACCAATTACAATCTCAAGGATTATTCAAACTGTCATGGGAACCTGTGGGCTTAAATTTTCCCCTGCTGGAATCGGATTCCAAAAAACGAAAGGTATGATAACCGTGGAAAGGAATATGGATGCCAGCTATTTGACTTTTCTCAGAATGAAATGTTATATTTCAAAATCCAACATGGCGGCCGAAGATAGCTAACTTACTAAGCTCTCCATTCCCCTCGACATATACTGAGACTGAGGCAGCTCCTTATCTCCCCTCCGCCCCCCTCCCCCCTTCCCCCCCCACTACTCACTCGAAAACCACTCAAAGGTTCAATAATTTCGTAAGCTTGAAACTCACTCTCTCCAGATAGATATCCATGGAAACCAGCCCTGCTTATTATTGCTTATTATGACATAATTTTTTGTAAGTCTAAGAGGTGAGTACACGAAAATTGCTTGTGTTGTCACGCAATTTTTATGTTGGATGATTCTAATTGTTTTCGGATGTTACTTACAAATTCAGTTCTGAAAACTCACGAGCGTGGGGGAGGATTTTGGTTGTGTCACGATAAAATTTACCTGATCCCACCAAAAAGAAATCCTATCATCCCCCTCATTGGTAGTTAATTGGCTGTTAATTTTCCAGAGTCCCCCTCTTTATACTCTGTTGGTGACGACTGATCCCCTCTGAGAATGCTCAACCCTCCCTTCCCTTCGATGATAGATAGTAACTGGTTCCTTAATATAAGTCTTTGCAGCTTGGCCCCATACATTAATGCCATAAGATAAGTAATGGTATATCCAGGTTCGATAAATTGTCAGCAGAATTTTGGAACACCTACGTAATTTTTGTCTCACTTGTTTGCTAATTTTGCCAGAAAGTATACCTTGAAAAAATGTGTTGTGTAACTATCTTAAGGCCTATTTACACGGCACGACTTTGTCGCATGCGACAAGCTTACGACAGGCCTACGACATGACTTAAGAGTCGTAAGCGAGTTGTAGGTTTGATTTACACGAAACAATTCGTGTCGTAAGCCTGTCGTAAGCTTGTCGCATGCGACAAAGTCGTACCGTGTAAATAGGCCCTTACTACACTTAATCAATTGATCTAATCTTTCCTACGTGAGTTCCACATTAAAAACTAGCAAAAAGACACCAGCTTTGTCAGATGGTCCATTAGTTTCATGCGCAGTACTAGTCTTATTAATTCTCAAATACCAACTGATAAATCACCGTTGGATCTACAAAACTGTGTTGTTTAGTCAGCGAACTATTTGCCTCCGATCCAGAACTGAGTCGTATCACTCGAGTCTGAGGTACAACGGAATTTGGGATTTGTAGAATCGTAGTGTCCAAAGTTGTCCTCGCTATGTACGGCCGTCTTGCTTGCGTCGAGATTGCAGGAAAAACTGATATAATAAGAGTCGACATGCAGAGGGTAACTGCCTTTTTTATACGCTGTTAATGCAGTGCAATTCACACACTCATTTCCCCGGATGTTGACGTATTCGTAAGGTCGACAGATGTTTACCACCGTGGGTACGTCTTTAATGATGTCAAAGTCTGCAAGCGAGGCTCTCAGGTAATCTGTGTATACGGTACCATCTGTGTTGTATCGGCAAGTAGCTCTCCAGTGAGTCGAGTGATCTCTGAGCCAAAGGAGGTAGGGTCGTTTGATAAGGTAGGCCTGCCAATTTGGGGCATCACCGCTGATGGCTTGGTAGTCATCGTAAAACACGATGTTTTTCTGTAGAGGAAGTAGAATTGGTGAGGAAGTCAAAACTGTCGCTTCTGAAACAAAACTCATGGAAGCAACATGATATTGAATGTATTTCACATCTTTCTGCTGAATGCGCTTTCGTCCTACGTTCATGTAGTACATATTTAGAGAAGATTTAAAGAGAAAGCAAATACCTGAAAACGAAGTTTGTTGGATAGGCTAAACGACTCAATCAGGTTCCAAGCGAACCCAGGCTCTGAGTCAAAATCACAGAACACCTGGAAGGTTTGATTATTGTCATCGTTAACTGTATACAATCCAGAGGCGGTGGATCCGGCTGCTTTGTAATCCTGACAGCTTCTTTTCTGCTGAATCTCGCAGTGTCTTCCAACAAACGGTACAGGACAGGAACAGTTGTACCGAACACTTGTGGGTTGACAGATCTCAGTACAGGTTCCTCTATTAAGACACGGATTGTTCTTGCAGCAGCCGTTGGCACACGTGAAGTCATCAGCACAAGGAATGATGTGGTTAAGAGCCTGAAAATGTATATGAAAAAGAAGTTACGCGCTTCTGATCGGCTGAAAACGACTGCATTCTCCTTTAACACGAGTGGAAAGTTAAAAAATGATCCTCGCAGGTGAGAAGCTAATGTACCTGAAGTTGAAGTTTTCTTCGTTTCTGAAATTCTTTGAAGTTTTGAACTTCGATTTTATTTTCATTTTCCATTATTCGAAACATTCATCTCCTTTCCGGCATGGGAATTTAAAAGAGGAAATCTCTCTACCTTCAATACCCGAGTAATAGAAGAACTTGAAATGCACACTTCGAGAAATATATATTTATTTCAGTTCGATTTTCTAGTTTTTGGTTTTTCCCGATGATCAATTGAAGTTTTGCAAAGTTTTGGTTGACAGCTGTTACTTTAGGTTTAAAAGAAAACCATTCATCTTAAACACTTTAGGGAATAACATTTCCATCAATTAGAAAGGAAAGTTTTGACGGGATGAGGAAGCATATTACATTGCAAAACAGTGCCTCTAATTGAAAGGATTCAGATTTGTATAATCTATCGTCAGGTAGAAGCTTCCTCGATATGAAATTTAAAAACATAAAATAAATGAACTTTTATGCCAAGATGAGGACTGAAAACCATTCGCGTTCAAAATACTTTATTACACACTTAAGTTTGGTACCTCAGTGGAGTATTCTCTCCGCAGTACGTAGTAAACGCTTCCGTGGATGTTTTTCAGAGAGTTCTTTTCGATAAAATGGCTGCCTTCGTTCAACTCGCAGTATTTGGTGTCGTCCTTGACCTTGTAGTTTATCGACAGACATCGACAGTCGTTGATACACCACAGAAAGCACTGCTGTGAGTTTGAAGTGACAGAACTGTGGAAGACATGGCCAACAAGCTCTTTGTCATGATAGGCGTCTTGTTGCTCATCAAAAGAGATCTTTTCACATTTTCCAGTGGAGCAGTAGCCCTTTACTTGAAAGGCTGAAATGAGTATACAAAAAAACTTTGCAATCATTATTCTTATCGTTTTCATCCCCCAGCTGAGGGAACGATGTTTCTCATAATGTCCTTCTTGAGCAGATTACGAGGTTAAGGTATCGCCCATCCCTATGTGTCAATCAACGTGTGAGAAACCAATCATATGAGTCACAGAAAATAACTTCACAATTTGAATATTCAAGACTCAGAAAAGATGTGCGTGGTATTTTCCAATTATGGCGCACAAATAACGTGATGCAGATGTTCAACTTAAGACCACCTCCCCCGCATAAAGATATAACTTCAAATCTCTTCCTTCCAAAACTGCGAACGTGTTGTTTAAAACACATGTGGGATAACCCAGGCTAGTTTTTCTGGGTTTTTGCAGATAATGTTTATGCTTAAATCTAACACATTGAGATGATCTAGCACGTTTCCACACCCAACTCGAGCAAAGCATGTTTCTCATAATGTCCTTCTTGAACTGATTATTTATTCAAGATATTGCCTTTCTCTATTTGGTAGTCAGATGCTGGCGGACAAAACAGGAAATATTTTTTAAACATTAATTGATATACATATCTTGACAATAGCCTTTACAGTGCAAGTTAATTAGATTTATTGTCATTTAATTTGTGAGGAGAATTTGGCAGTTTAAATGATAAATCTTCCATTAGAGCAAACGAGCCAATATCTACCAGTATGTAGAACGATATCACAGATTCTGAAATCATTTCCTCATTTATATCAGAGATTAAAAGCCGTTTCAATGCAAGATAACTATTGGCAAGGGACCCCCCCTGGAGAACGAAAAGACGTAAAGAACTAAATATGGTTGGTTTTAAAAATTCTGAAGAGGCATGTGTTTTTTCAATTTTTTGATCAGTTTAACTCACATTGTGTTTAAGGTATTCTTGGCGCAAAGTTCAATAGATTTTTAACGAAAAGTAACGTCAACGTATTTCATCTCAGTAAGGTGCACTATTCAATACAAAAAAAGCTTGAATGTTTCAACAACTGATGTCCGATTACAGCTGCCAGATGACAAACGGGTGATAGTGTGAATTTCGATCGGCGGTACAGAAAAAACATTTAGCGACTTATGGTTTGTAGACAATCAGTAACCTATCGTTACATTGTTTTGAAGAAAATTACTTTATTTTCTAGTGAATAGAGAAATTTTCACCCCGTGTTCATGAAATCTATAAAAAGTAATCTTTCTTGTATTCAAGATAAGGAACCAAGGAATAATTGATTATGTTTACGGTTTCAATTCTTTTCGACAATGTCCTCTCACTGTGGCTGTCCCCTCTCCATGGTAACAGGTCTATTGCAAATAATTATCGCAGTGGATCATATTATCAGTTTGTCAAACCAAGTCTATAAAAACTTTCTGGAGGCTGGAAACATTTGAAGTTTTGATTTTATTTTGGCACTGAACATACAAAAAGTTCTCAGTTTCACTCAAATAACGGTAGCTTTTTTTCACATTTGGCTATATATAACTCGATTTCCCGGCTCGGAAACTTCGTCAAAATCACATTTGATAGTAGTTGTTTAAATTCAAAGCACGTTCTATTTGGCTGTAGTAAACAACTCTTAGTATGCTCACTTGCCATATCCCGAAAAAATCCATCCATTTGGCGGACAAATGGAGTAGCGACTAATATAATACGCGACAGATAGACAGATAAAATAGCCTTCAATCTTCGTTCCCCCTTGATGCCAACTTCAGTTATGTTTGTATGATTTATTATCACAAGTAAAGGAAAACTTAACATAACTATATATTGATGAAGATAATGTCTCAGATAACTAAGTGAAAAAAATGCTCTACCATTAACACTGTTTCAGTCAATACCAAACAACGAAATTATACAGGCAACATTTATATCTTTATCACTAATATCATGAAGAAGACCGAGAAAGCTTCATGTTGTACTTGCGACATAAAGATTAAATTCAATTTCAGAACATGATTTGTTCGATGGCACTCGTCGAGTTTAACTTTGAAAGTTTTTCATATATAGTATTTCCTCTTTAAGCTACAAAATCTTAAGAGCTAATGTCAGCATGCATCAAACAAACAGCGGCAAGTCACCCCAAATTTTCTTTCACTCCTACTTTCATATGTTGTATCCCAATATGTTCTATGGTGTAGTTTTTTTGTAAAAATTTATCTTAGTTTTCGAGAAATAATTTTTTTCGTTCGACCGCTCAAATATGCAAATTTTCACCGTGAATATTACCCGAGTTGTGTGACCTCATGTAACGAATAAACTGCACCTACGATATTTCTGTGAACGTAATCCTTCGTTTTATTATCTAAACTTAATCCCCTGTTATTATTGAAGCTGGCAAAGAAATATTTATTTTTTGGTGAATATCTTTGTCCGACATACTTTTCCTATGTCGAAAAGTAGCATCAAAACAAAGACAGTTTTAATAATGACCGATATGAAAAACTCTGCCGACCTTCAACCTTTTAAAAGACAAGAGGATGGTTATAAAGTTACTGTAAAAATTTCCTTGTGTATTTGTGTTGTTCTATCTTGAGACGAACTCAAAGTCCGGCAAAATTTTTTTGGGAATTACTGCATTCAGAAAACTAAAATGTCCAGATCTATCAATGATTCATTTGTCGGCTGAAGTCAAAGTATGGTTACAATAGTCAATTTGATTGACAAGCTACATACTGATTTAGCTACCTGATCTGTTTTATAAGCGTCTCATCTTACATGCTAACATGGAGATTTGCTGTTCAGTTAAATCGTTCGCTAGTGGAACTTGTGGGTTTAGTTATCGAGAAGACCAAGCCATTCCCTTGTGTGATTGTTAAAAAGACGTTTCAAGTCACTTGCGGAGTTGCAAGTTTTCAGATCCAGAAAATGAAGTTGATCGTTTTGTCGCGTGCCGGTATCTTCGAGACGCCAAAAGATATCGATGATTTTACAAATTGCCCCACTCACAGATCAAATCTCGGTGTTGGGTGGAGTCGTGGTTCCAATAGCAGATGTAGGGTGCCAAAAGAAGTGTCCGGCCATGGTAAAGGTAGGGTTAAGTCGATTCCAAAAGCTGATAGGGGAATTGGCAAGCGTGTATCACAGATAGTACTCAAGATGTCTGTAAAATTCGTACAATCTGGCTCCGGTAAGTAGGCTACTTACCACCGTGAGCAAAATTACGCGTGACGTCAGACTTAAGTCTCGATTGGGAATTGGTCAATAGGCTACCAAAAATTCAGACAGAGGCGGAGTTTTCTGAACTAATGTCTGAACACTTTGTTGGCTTTCCGCCGTCTGGGGGAACGCGTAATTATACACACGTTGGTAAAGGGCCCTTCCGCACTAGTAACTAGACGCTGACAAAACTTGTTTCTTTTCGCCAAAAATCACATCAAAATTTGTCCTTGCTAAATGACAAGTGTGCTGCACGTGTCAGCACCCCTATGAAAATATTCACCAAAAAATAAATACTTCTCTGCCAACTTCAATAATGACAGGGAATTAAGTTTAGATGATAAAACAAAGTATTATGTTGACAGAAGTGCCGGAGGTCAAGTGGAATCGTTACATGAGGTCACACAACTCGGGTAATATTCACGGTGAAAGTTTGCATATTTGAGTGGTCGAACGATAAAAGTCATTTCTCGAAAACTAAAATATATTTTCACCGAAAAAACTACACCACAATTTTTAGAACATATTGGGCTACAAAATATAAAAGTAGGAGACGAATTTTGGGCGACTTGCCACAATATTTCAAATTTGTTCGATGGACGCTGACATCCTCTCTTAAAGCGTTGCTTGTTGTAGCATAAACAGGCAAGTTTGGTCTACAGTTCTCACAGAAGACAGAAGGTCTACAATACGATTCTTCTGAAACCAGCAAAACAAATGTTCCTATCTTTGGTTCAGTTTGCTAGAAAACCAAGCTGATGGCTGTTGATGATTTTATAGTTACATCCATCAGAGTGCTTGCCGTAAGTTTATGTACTCGACCGCATAGCTATCTTCAGAGACAACAGTGCACTCTTCGTGGTTGATTCAATCTTTCATGATTTTAAAAGAATACAGAGAAGTGAAGATAGTGTTGTACACCGCGAGAAATAGGAAGACGCCGTGCATGATGCGAGAGGTACGTTTAGCCTTATCCATGATATGAAAAGCTGCAGGGTGAAAAACTTGGAAGTAGACTCTTCCAGAATTTGTCTTAAGGAAGCCAATTTTCATATCGTAACTGGAAAGAGCGATCATTTCGAGTTCTGCGACAGTCATCTCGTACAAAACGTTGAGCGTTTGCAGATCAATCTTAAACGGTTGTTTCTTGACAAGTGGAAGAGATTTTCTGTTGACCAATTCGTGTTGCAAGCAGAAAGCAATAAATGGAAAACTACGGTGTAAGGGAACGAACCAGTGTCACCAAAACTCAACACAGCAACAATAATTGAAAAGCACAACGGTACACCGCGGTAAATAGGTAGGTCTGCTTGAGGCATGAAGCGCCTGCACTCTATATGATGAAGATATTCGTGAAACGATGTACAGAGGAGTGCGGAATATTTACTTTACAGCCAACACTGTCTATTCTGGTTTGCCTGCAGCCAAGAAGTTCAGCTGCAAATGACACAGACATTGTCGTACTGATAAGAAACGTTCCCGAGCCAAGAAAAACCCGTCGTGTAATGATTCTATCCGCGAACAAGCGCCGATTTAATTCTCTTCTGTCGCGGCAACGAGGACGACAATTGATTGTTTCTCGTCTAGCGAGCTATGCCTTTAGCATCTCACTGCTTACAAAGCAGAAGAATGTGAACAAATGATGACAAATTCTGAGATGACTTTCGAAGAATCACAATTTATCGTGAAGCAAAATGGTGATTAGTTATCTCAGTCTTTCTGGGAAAATTGTAACTCGAGGCAACCAATCTAAAGGATTACTCCAACTGTCATGTGAACCTATGGGCTTACATTAAATTTTGTTGGAATCGGATTCCAAAAAACGCAAGGTATCATAGCAGTGGAAAGGAGGATGGAT